ATGTGTTAAAAAAATCAAGAAAATTAATAAATTGGGTATTAATTCAAAACTTATTAAATATACAAAATTTATAAAACCAAATGTTTAAAATTATTGTTTCTAACTGAATTAAAATAAAATATAGCTGTTGTACAATTTAAGATACAAGTTTTTTAAGAGGAAATTTAGGAAAATACCTCTTTTGGTTTTTTAAATTTGTAAAATACACTCTCTTTTTTTGGTTTTGAAAAATACACTTTTTAAAATATTAATTTACAGAAATATCCTCTTAAAATATGAACAATAGATAGTATATATTTTATATAATTTTTGAAAAATATAATTAACTTCCTGTAATAATAATATTATTCTAAACTCTTATCTAGTTTAATTTTAAAGCTACTTATATGTTTTAAATTTTTATGTAATATAAGATTATGTATATGTCATTATTATGTTATGTTGAACCACAAGTGGAAGCCCAAACCGATTTTTTTTGTTAAAACAATGGAAGTTGTGTTCATAAGTCAATTTATCGATTCATTTAGTTAAATCAATTGAACTATATACTTAAATCGTAAACTTTACATCAAAAATAAACTTTGAAGTCTTTGTATGTGATATGTGTCCTTTGAGTGGGGGGAGGAAGGAGGTGATGAATCCTTTAATACAAAGTTTTCTTTTAACTAATTCGTATACCAATATTTTCTGCTATTTCATGTTTGAGAAGTATAGTGACAGAGTGGATCCAACGATGCATCATACAGAGACGCCAACAAGAAAACTCTACGTCTACAATAGCGATACACATATTGATAAGAACAGTAAACAATTAGAATAAATATTCTTTTATTAAATTCTGAAATGAGATAATTCTGAAATAGTAAACAATTTTATCTCAAATTAAGTTAAAATAATATTACTATTAGTAATATTACGAATTTTAATATGATTTATTACAATAAATTTTTTAATTAAAAATTAGGATAAAAGGGTCTTTTCAAATACAAAAAGAGTTAGTTTTCAAAAAAGCAAAAAAATAGTGTATTTTTCAAATTTAAAAACATAAATAGGGTATTTTTAAAAAAACCTCGTTTTTAAATGTAATCTATTAATATAATATAAAATATATTATTTTTCATACAAAATTTAATGTACCATAAGTCAATACAATTAAAAAAAAATAGTAATCTAGAGTATAAGATATACAAATTATTTGTATTTTAAACTATTTTATGAAATTGTCAATAGATAATTAGATACCCAAATG